CCCCTCCCCTCCCTTCCCCTCCCCCCTTTTTTCCCCCTCCTTTTCTTCTTGCTGTCAATGCCAAAAGCAATGATGAAAATGGCAAGATCCTTCCCAACCAGAACGAGGCCCTTGAAGCATCCAGGCTTGGGCAGTTCTGCACCTGTGTGTTTCGTGGATGCTTGGGGCAGATACAGGTAAAATGTGTTGAGGCTGTGGTGGCAGATTATTACCAACTGTTATCTTTTTATTGAGGTTGGAGGCAACCTTTACAGCAAAAGGAATTGAAGGCAGGGCATAGCTGCAAATTTGTGTCAGCTCCTGTAAATGAGACTGAGACTCCCCTTGCTCATCTCATAAACTCCTTTGAAGAGCTAGAAAAGGATTACTTTCAGTCACGGTTGACAAGTGCTGGAACCTAACTAAATGACCTAGAGGAGCCCATTAAGTGGTTTCCAATGGCTGTGCCCTCCATTTTGATTCTGGAGAATGAAAGCAGTTTAGCTCTCCAGACACTTTGCTGCATCCTGACTGCACATTAATCACCCTCCCTCTCCTGCTTTCATTACACAAAAACAGTGTGTTGCAAGTACTGCAAGCCTGCATTGCCAGATAGCTTCTGTGATGGCAGCAAACTTGTCCTAATGATCTGTACCATCTATTTGGAAGGAAATGTAGAGGGTGTGCATCAGGGACAAAGCTCTGTAAAATATTTTGTTAAGATGGTCTAAGTAAGAAGAGAAGATTTACTTGGACTGTACAGGTGGACCCAGATGGAAATATATTTGTTTCCAAGATTGTGGCCCTTTTTTTTCTTAAAAAAACTTCAGTAAATCATGCTGTGTGTCAAAGAACTCCCTTCAAAGGTGTTTGTGGGTTTCATATAGTTGTTTCTGACCTGCAGTTAGACAACACTATGTGAGTGGAGATACTGACCACAGATTCATGCTATGAAGTGACCAATGTACTGAGTACTGAGGCAGAGATTCACAGGCTTCAATCTTAATGCTTGCATTGCAGCTTGTGATAACTCCAAGGATGCTTGTAGGCAATTAGCTACAGAAAAAAATACCCAACAGTTTTCTAGCATAATCTGTTTTGAATTGTTCAATAAATTCTAGTTAGGACAGTGTTTATGTCTGTCTGTCTAAGTGAGAGCTACTTGTGAGACTATTCCTTGTGATCCATCCCCCTCCCAGTCTCAAACCAGACACTGATCTTCTCTACCCAAAAACTCCTCCACCAGTCCATTCTCTTGCACTCCCAGCCCACTGCAGCTCCTCCCCATGGGAGCTGTCTACATCCTGCAAACACGGGATACTAAGGCATATTTGAAGCCTGTAGTGCCATGCTGGAGAGCAGGGTGGGGCTGAGGGGTGGGAGAAGAGCTAGGGCTTGCCTTATACCATCAAAAGATCCGCGCTGCTCCAGTTCCCTGCTGCTGTCTTCTGGAATGGGTGAAAAGGACTGAAGTCCTGGAGATGGGATCCCAGTGGAGGGCATTTGCCTAATAGGCAGTGTGGTTGGTTGGCAGGTATTCAGTGATATCGGACACTGATACAGAGAGCATCTTCATGGAGCCAATCCATCTGTCATCTGCTGTGGCTGCCAAACAAATAATCAATGAAGGTAAGAAGAGGAAGGGCAAAAGAACTATGTAAGTAATAGAGACTTGAGTTGCACTTGTTTTGCCTTTCTCATCCAGAGATCCTAAAATGATAAAAAAGTCTTTATGAGAAAACCCCACCTGAGGTAGAGATGAAAAGTGCAAAGAAATAACAATTTACAGAAAGGTTTGGTGACTTCCTTTGAAGTTGTGCACTGAATCTGTGGCAGAATCGTGTACCACAGTGGTGAATAGAGTTTGATTGCTGGTTGCTCACTGCAACAAACTGAATAGAATAGAATAGAATAGAATAGAATAGAATAGAATAGAACCTACAATGACCATCTAGTCCAACTGCCTGACCACTTCAAGGCTGACCAAAAGCTAAAGCATGTTATTAAGGGCATTGTCCAAATGCCTCCTAAACACTGACAGGCTTGGGGCATCCTCTCTAGGAAGCCTGTTCCAGTGTTTGACCACCCTCTCGGTAAAGAAATGCTTCCGAATGTCCAGTCTAAACCTCCCCTGGTGCAGCTTTGAACCATTCCCACGTGTCCTGTCACTGGATCCCAGGGAGAAGAGATCAGCACCTCCCTCTCCACTTCCCCTCATCAGGAAGCTGTAGAGAGCAACTGCATTCTTCTGAGGCTAGAATGAGTGTGCCCTTAACTCCCAGGCCTTTGGCCAGTGTGGGTCTCCGGACTGAGAGGACAGTGCAATATGCTCTTCCCATTACTGACTACCTTGAGGCTGCTAGATAAGCATGTGCACGCACACATTGCAGACAGGACGGTGTGATGTTACTGGGAAAAAAAGCAAGCCACAAGGCTTGTCTCAGGAACAAAGGATGACAGGTCATATATTTGCTTTGTTTTTACATGCTTTTAGTTACAGTGTCAGTTTATTCCAGAACTGAAGACAAAGGACACCAAGGTAGATTCAGCGTGTCCCAGGATGTTAGAGTCCGCGCAGCAATTGATGGTGGAAGACCTGTACAACCGAGTTAAGGAAAAGATTGATGACACCAGCTTGTTTAACACGCCGTGTGTGATGGACTTGCAGAGGGCACTTGTGAAGGACAGGCTGGAGACCCCCAGGGATGCTGTGGATGAAGTCTGGCCTAATGTCTTCATAGCAGAAAAGTGAGTGTCAGCTTTTGTCATCAAGTCGCACGAGATTCCCAGTGAAGGGTCAGATGGAACCACTGAAGGCATAACATGTACTACATGCATCTAATACCTTTCATCCCTAGAGAGCCCCAAAGTGTTTTTCAGAATATGCTCACAAAGATCTCTGTGCACTGAAAAGTAAATACTTCTGAATAGAATCAGCAGCTTTCCTATGCTATTTTGATGCCTCGAGAGTTTAGGAGAGGAAAAGGCAAATGAGCCCAAATTACACTGTTCTGATTGGAATTTGGCCCTGAAATTGGGACTAAAGTCTTTGTTATGTAAAAGAGAGTTAAAAAATAAATGCCGTAGCAAATATCGAGTGGAAATGGTTAGGTCTTCTGCACCATGGCTCAGCTGCCTGAGACACCTGTGCAAGTGACCAGAACAGAATTAGGAGGGGATATAGTGTAAAACATAATTACGAAGTGATAAAAATTGAGAAATAAGTAAACAGCCTGAACCTAGGATGGCAGGATGAGTTTAAAATCAAGCTGGCATGGAAATTGAGCATGCAGCTCTACTGGTGAGTGCAAGTTTCTCATTTTCTTTTCCTGGTGAATATTGGAAAGAAAGACCTGTAGAACTCTCAAAGGACATTATGGTCTGAGCGGAGCCACGTGTCGGATGAGTAACACAGACTGGGAGCTCTGTAGCGCTGTTAGCAGACAGCTTCTTTCCTATGCGAAATAGGAGCACTGATACCTAACTTCTTTCTTTCTTTTCTGAAGAAGTGTTGCGGTCAACAAAAGCCGTTTGAAGAGACTGGGGATCACGCATGTCTTGAATGCAGCTCATGGTACAGGCGTATACACAGGACCAGGTTTCTACAACGGTCTGAATATCCAATACCTGGGCATTGAAGTGGATGATTTTCCAGATATGGATATCTCCAAACACTTCCGCCCAGCTGCAGAGTTCCTTGACGAAGCACTGCTGACTTACAGGGGTAAGAGGAGAAGATTACAGTGGTTCCAGAATGCTTGGGAATTAATGGGTGGAAGCATTACTCTGATAAATAGACGATGCCGCATTTGTAATTGGGTAGAAGGCAGATACTTTGTTCTTTGCATCCAGTTACAGTGAACACTTCTTGCCCATTTCTGCCATGCCTCATTCAAAACAGGAGGGGGCAAACTAGTGAGAGGAGGCAGCCCAGCAGCCCCCGCTGCAAGCCCCATGTCTTCGGACTCAAACTGGCTGCGAGCCACCTCCCTCAGCTGCTTTGAAAGTACCCTCCTACTGCAAAGAGGTGAAGCCCTGCTCCAATAAATAGATCTTTTAATATCGATATTATATAATACTATATATAGATATATTCCTGTACACTGTGAGTTTCAGTTTTGCCAGGATGCTTACTGCAAAAGAACAGGCTGACTTACCTGAACAATCCAGACAGCTGGATTGAACCCCTGGATGTCTACACCCCGGCTACTGTATAATTTGCTGGACTCCGATTCCATGGCAACTGTTATTCTGTGGACCGCCAGTGCATACTGGTCATTTTGTTGCGGCTTCAGTGGACAGTTAGAAATATCTTTATGGAACTCAATACGAAAATGAACACCGCATTCAGTGATATCACTGACATTCTTCATATATGTATTCAATGCATTTAATTTCTGTAGAGTGACAACAGGTCACCTCCTAGTAGAAGTGGCAGTAAGAAAAGTGAGAAGTTTTGTTAGTACGCAAGAAAAGCTGAGCCAATTTTAATAGCTCACCAACAACACCACGAGGAGGGACACTCTACCCACCTATGTTCTTCCTCATAACTCCCATTGCTACCCTTGGCACAGTACAGATGCTTACTGCTGCTGGCACTCATCAACCCTTCAACTCGCTAACCCAGCAAAAACAACAGCCCAGCAGGGAAGAGGTGGCTTTCCATTGGGTTAGTGAGCTGAACTGGCTTATTAAAGGGCCCGGTGAGTACCAGAGCCCACACAGGAAAGGATGCAGGGAGACAGAGGAGCCTTGAAAGAAAACAGAGGAATGAGATCTCTCCCTTTTGGTGAGCTGTTAGATAGGCTTTACTGGCTGCTAAAACACTCGGAAGGCAACTGAGACTTTTCATACTAAGAAAGGTGTAAAAGACATTTCGGGATTGTAGGAATAGATACATTAGGTAAATACTTGTGGTAACATATCGGCAGTCAGAAAGGTGGTGTTTAAACTGGCTTCATTAAGTTTCAGTGCAAACAGTTTGATTAAACTGGAGTTTATCACACATTTAGAAACAGTAATTTCAGTTATTTGCAGGCTAGCAAAGCCTCATTTAAGCTCTCTTCATATTTACAAGCTTTTCTTTAACTGTAATTTGCTATAAAAATAACTTTTAAAAACAATTCTTCTGTGCCAAAGCTTAGTTTTCTGCATTCTGTGTAAATGCCATGAAATAAAGCAGATCCTCAGCTTTGATTCTAGCTCTTGCAGTCACTATTTACAGAACGGTGGGTCCCAGTAATTTGGAGCAGCTGTATCAGTTTGTCAGAGGCAAAATCAGCTTTTCTGCTAGTTGCTTGGTTCTCCTGTTCTCAGATGTACTATGACTCTGGTCTTCAGCCAGTCTACGTGTAACTGTTTGAGTGTACCTTGCAAAACTGCAGATCTGGATTCTGGCAAAAATATAATTAAATTAGTATAAAATTGTATTTAAGTCCCATAATGTGCCTTATAAAAAATTAAGTTATTTGCTTATCCTCCCAATACCCTCCTGGAGGCTAATGCTAGTATCTCCCTTTTTACATATGGGGAAACTGAAGCATGGAAAGCTTAATTGTCTTACCCTAAGTCAGCCAGCAAGTCAAGAATACTGTATCACTTGTCTTTCTAATACCTATTATAAACTTCTTGATTATTTGGGGAAGTGAAGTGTATAGGTGAAAATACAAATATTATTTAGATTGTTTTAAAATGTGCCTGCCCACCGCTTTTGAAACTAATGTGGTTATTATTCATATGTATCTAGATTTTTATTAAGACAAAGCTAACAAGTATTTAGTTTTGGTTTCAGTCACTGAAGTATATAATCTGTCTAATTTTTAACACTATTCAGAGAATGCTTTTGTGCTACATATCAGAGCAACCTCTCTGTGTTATTGGAAATAGCTAATTACTTTTATATTCAATATCTGTAGGCAAAATCCTTGTCAGCAGTGAAATGGGAATCAGTCGCTCAGCTGTGCTGGTGGCTGCTTACCTGATGATCTACCACCATATGACCATTCTGGAGGCTCTGATGACTCTAAGAAAGAAGCGTGCCATTTACCCCAATGATGGCTTTCTGAAGCAGCTAAGGGAGCTCAACGAGCAATTGTTAGAGGAACGAGAGTTGGAGCATACTGGAGACGAAGAAGTCACTCCTAGTCAAAGTCCTGTTGTCCATGCAGGGACTTCTTCCCGGCTGTCTGGAGTTGGGGACTCAGAAAGCATCATGGGAGCCAAAGCCCACTCCATCACAGTAGAAGAAGAGGACACCAGCAGCCTGCTGGGTAGTCTTATGAGCTCTTCATCGGCGGGAAAATCTAGCTGGGTTTCCAAACACTCCACCCTCATCAGTGAGGAGGAAGAGGAACAGCTGTATAAGGAATGGAGGAAGAAACAAGGCCTGCCTGCAAAGGAACCAGGAGTTAACCATGGAAGAAGAACTTCTCCAAAGCTTCTGGATCAGGAAGGGGAACAATCTGAGGAGGATGTGGAACAGAGGATCCATGACTGGCAGTGCAGAAATGAGAAATACCAAATGGAGGGTCCACCCAGGGAGGAGGATGGAGATTCCAGCATGGGAGGAAGACCTTACCCATCAGGTGAATTCAGTGATGTTGAGAGTGTGAGCAGTTTTGAGATCCAAACCCTAAAGCAACAGTTGGAAGCCAGTAGCTTTAGCAGGATGAGGAGGAGCCGCACAGGCTCTGTGTCTTCAGAGAGCACTTGGGACATGTGGAACCAAAGGCTTCTGGAGATTGAGAAGGAAGCTGCTCAGAGGTATCGTTCTAAGAATAAAATTGGTGGGGAGAGACAATCCCCAGAAACAGGAAGAAAGGAGAGGGATGAGGATGAGGAGAGTGTGTTTTCAGACAGTAGCTCCTTTTACAATTTCTGCCAAAAGAACAAAGACAAGTTGACTCCTCTAGAAAGGTGGAAGGTCAAGAGAATCCAGTTTGGCTTTCACAAGAAGGATTTAGAATCATCATCATCTTCTGCACCATCTCCAGCAGAAGATGGCAGCCAGGCAGGTGGGGAGGGGACAGAAGGGAAGAGTTTGTCAGATATTAACCTGACTGCTTACCAGGCTTGGAAAATGAAGAGGCAGAAGAAGGTGGGCAGTGAAAGCAAGGAGGAATTTGTGGAGTTTGCCAAAAGTGAGGATTCTGCTTCAGCCAAAAAGAAGCAGAGGCGTGTAGAGCTCCTTGAACATTCAAAGAAAATTTTAGAAGAAAGCCAGTCCATGTGCAGCTGGGAGACAGACAGTACGATGAGTGGGAGTATCCCACTGTCAGCTTTCTGGCCCTCAGCGCCTTCTGCAGGCGGTGCCGAGGATACAGCTTCTGCACTGAGCATGCAGACAAATCATTCATCTTTGTCACAGACCAGGAGCAGCACGGGGGCAATGCAGCCTCAGATGCCAAGTATACCTCTTCCCAATCTCCCTGTTGGCCCAGGTGACACAATATCCATGGCAAGCATTCAGAACTGGATCGCTAATGTGGTCAGTGAAACCATTGCTCAAAAGCAAAATGAGATCATGATGCTGTCCCGTCCATCGTCTGCAATGGCCTCCAGCGTAATGTCAGGAGACCTTGGCAGGCGTGTAGATGATGATAAGGTTTCTCTTCTCAGTGCTCAGAGTGGCTCATCTCTTGCTACCTCTCAGCTTCGCCAGCAGGACATGCACAGGGCTGAGTCTCAGTCTGTCCTGTCTTGCAATACCTCAGTGAGCGCAAGGACAGAAGGACTGAGTTTAAACATGAAGACAACACAGACAAGCAAGCCACTGTACAGCCTCTTTGCTGATGATGTTGACCTAAAGAAACTCAGGAGGAAGGAGAAGGAGATGCAAATGGAAATGAGAGAGAAAATGTCAGATTATCAAATTGAAAAGGTAATCAGAGACAATAAACGCAGCACTTTATTTAAAAAGAAGATGACCAAAGGAGAGGAAAATGAAATAGAAGATGACAGAGAGAGTACAACAAACAGCCACAGGTGCCCCTTGCAAGCAGATCTTGACAGAACTGATACAGTCTTTGATCCGTCCAGTCAACCTGCAAACACAGGTGCAGCAAAGTCAGAGATAGAGACTGGTATTACCAAGTGGCTCAGTGGCCTGAGAGCAGAAAGAGAACCACCATCATATTACGATGAAAGTGAGAAGGCTAGAGAGAAATATAGCAGATCATCCAAAGTTAGAGAGATGGATTCTGAAACATCCAGTTACAGATTTTCCAGATCCCAAAGAGAAGAGCTAGACAGCTGTTCTTCCTACGAGTCAAAAGGAGATTCACTGAGAACCGCGTCAAGATTTTCCTCTGCTTCTGCAAAAGAGGACAAAAAGATGTATAAGTTCACAAGGTCAAGGGTCAGTGAGACAACAAGTTCCAGAGAAAAGAGCCCAGAGCTGCATGTTTTCAGCCGAACACCTGAGCCATCCTTTGACTCTGAATCCCCTGAACCATCTACACAGAGTCGAGTTAGATCTCATCATGTGGAGGCGTGTGAAGAGGAGGCCAAGTCAGACATGTCAGAATTTGGAGCTAAGAGAAAGTTCACCCAGAGCTTTTCAAAGTCTGAAGAGGATGGAAAGAAGGAGGCAAAAGTGGAACAAACTGAAGAAAGATTTGCATCTAGACAGTTCTCTCAGTACAGGCGAAGCATGCGTAAAGAAGAGGAAGAAGAGATGGATGATGATGCCATTATCGCTGCTTGGAGAAGCCGACTAGAAGAAACTACAGCAAAGCTCCGGCGGCGAAGGGAAGAGTGACCAAGATCAGATTAGAGGAACACAAGCAGAGCCACAGAGTCCCCGAATCACTCATCATTATATTTCTGATAATCCTTTGTGGTTTGTAGGGCATTTCCTGCAGATAGTTCTCTTCTTAATCAAAAGCGATAAAGGGAAGAGGTCAAGTTTTGGAAGTGTTTGTGGTTTGTCAGAAAGAAGATGCTGGTATTAAATGATCAATGTAGGTAGGAACACAATGTTAGAAGCCATTAGGAGCCAGACGATGCTTCAGCAGCAAAAGCAAGTAATGGTGGCACCTCAATTCAAAAGACCAATCACATCCCATTTTGGTTATTTCAATTTCCTAGCCTCGTTAAAGACTGGACATATTTTTTCTAGGATCTTTTTGATCATAAATGGAAGAAGGCAACAGCCTTTTCTAGGAACTTGAAGAATGTTCCTCTCTTAATCAGTTTTACTTTCTACCACTGAGAAGATACTGCCAGGTAGGCTCCATTTTCTGCACCAGTCTTATGAATGTCTACAGAAATAAGACAGTTCAGGGGAATACATGTACTGTTTTACTTCACTAAGTAGCAGAAGCAAAGTGAAATAGAAGAAAGAAGATGCCTCCTTCTTTTTAGAAGTTCAATGCAATAATGAATGTATTCCTGTGGTACCATTGTTTTCTATTAGATGGAGTCATCTCTGCTCCGGCATAGTTGGTTCCTGCTGATAACTTTGGGTCAACAAAGGACAAATGCAGTAATATTAACAGCCATCTAAAAATTATGTTCTGATGCGGTTAAAGAGACGGAGCTAGGGTTAGGATTAGTCTTAGGTTAGGCTGGGTTTCTGAAGTACTGACTTCAGGTTGTTTTACGTATGCAGCTCAGCTAAGTCTGTGCTTTTATGGCTATAGTCAGATTGTCATGTATTAATTTTCAACACGATTGCCTTAAAAGAAAAGAGTGATACACAAACTGACCTCATAATAAAATGATGTATAACTAAAGCGTTGGTGTAAGGCACCATGCACCTAAGGACAAATTGTATGTCTGTTGAATGTGGTACTTGGAAGCTCATTTTTTGGAGATGGTAGGTTTAGTTGGCGTGTTACAGTTAACGTGTTGTTTGTATCATGAGCTACAGAGCCCACTTCTCAGAGTGAGTGGAAGGAGCACAGTCTCCGTGTTAACTGAGTACACCAAGTTAAGAGCCTCGGGTCTTTCCATGCCCTGCAGAGCCTCATGAGCTTGTGTGACATGACCTGCCAGGCCTGCCACAGCATCACTTTTGTGGCTCGTATGATGCTGTGTCTCTGACGCATCAAAGCACCCAACTTTTTGTCACCAGTCAACATCCTCCACCTCTCTCTTATAAAGACCTAGGCCAATTTCTCCTGATTTCTACTCTGGAATTATCTGTTCCCTCTTCTGTACAGACTGTATTTTGAAACAACAAAACCCTCTGGCAGAGCTGAGTATAAAACAACAATGGAGGGATGATGCAGTATTGCTCTCTCACAGGAAGTTTTGTCTTTCTTTTTCTTGTAATCTCTTCTCCCTCCCACTGCGATGCTTAGAGCTCACTATTACTATTATGCTAGTACCTCTCCCTATTTTAATTGTGTAATATAGACAGTAAGCTCCACAGGGCAAGGGCCTGGTCTTTGTCCTTGTCTGTATGACGCCACGCACATCAGCAATGCTATCTAAATAATGGCTACTGATAACAAAATGCAGCTGCCAATTTTCCTAAACTTAGAATCATTTCTCTCAACTATAACTCACTGATTAGACATTATCCCTGCTTCTCTGGAGATAAAGATGACTCTTTCTGACAGCCAGGACTAGGGTAAATGATAGCTACTTATTGTCAGGTGAATGGAGTCTCAAAATCAGGTGATTGAACAATAACGGGTAGAAAAAGAAGAGAAAGAACATATTTTACTTGTGTGTTTGGGGTTTTTTTGAGTAAACTCAGATTACATTTTTGAAGTACATAAGGAACATGGTCTTCTTAATGTTTCAGGCATCCAGAGATGCTATAAGGCTTATAATGCACTTCTACTGCAATATAATATGTAATACAATGCATCCCTTATTTCTGCATACTTCTGTGAGTTGTATTTTTTTTAAGTAGTGGAATTCCAGGCTTTGATCCACATTCTGAGATTTTATGTTGAATTTCTGCAATGTGTGTTAGGATAGGCATTTTCCTCTTTTCTTCATCCTTGGTAAAGTTGCTCTGTGGAAAAAACTCTGCACATGCATATTTGGAGCTTGCTTTAATTTCAGTCTAGAAAAGGTCTTAAGTTTCGACAGATCAAAGTGGAAGTGTGCAATACCTTCTGGCACTGAATTTACTTTTTTATCAAGGGCTGGTTCCTTCTGAAAAATCTCTCTCCCGCTTCCTATGGCTGGCTGCTGTTCTCAACAGAAATGTCTGTCCTCTGCAGTACTGTAGGGGGCATCTTACACTGTAAAAGGTGAGCATTATATGATGTAGTAATTGGTTTCATTTTGCACTGTACAGCACAGCCTTTGTTTGGGTAGCATTTTGATTTAAACAGTAATCTAGGTCTGCCGCACAAATAAATTATTCAAGGCTGAGGGGCAGAATATGGTTCTATAACAAGCCTGAGCCAAACCATCCTGATAGCGAGTTTTGACCCTTCTGGGAAAGGGTTAAGTGGGTTCTGCTGACTCACTGAGGTAGGTGGCTTATTAGTTCACTTGTGTAAAAGGGAGATAAAAATGGTTTGCTGGGGAGAGGCCATCTAGGATGCTGGCTGAGCAGTCATGAGGGAGAAGCCTTAGAAACAGCTGAACTTTATTTTCTTATTGCTTATATCCTTGTTAATAAAGCCAAACCCCCAAAGCAATAAGGGGGTGGGGATCATTTTGGACTCCATTTAGTGTATGGCCTGTGCTTGAAAGTGAGATGGGAAAGGCTCCAGCTCACAGGTATAAATTACATGAAACAGTGACATAAAGACCTTGCATGGTGAAAATATTAAAGCATTCAGTCATAAGACCAATAACCAGGAGAGACAGAAATGGAGAGGTTGAAGGCAGGCTAGAAAGTCAGGTTTTAAGATGAGAATTTAGAAGGAGATAGGGAATCGGTGAAAGGGGAGAGGTCTGCACAGATTGTTTCAGGTGACCAGAGCTGCAGAGTGAATGGTTTTTCAGCAATGACACTGTTCTGACACTAGATTAAAAGAGTAGGTAAGTACCCAAATTTATCTAGGAAGGATTTTTCAGCAAAGATGCGCTGGGACTGATATTTTTGCTCAGCCTCAGTTTGCTGCTGTAGGCAGGAGGGGGTTTTTTGGCATTGTACAGTGGAAGGTGAAAGTGCAAGGAGCATCCATACAGTCAGTTAAGAATATAAACACAGGAACATCAGAAAGGCTATATGGGGTCAGACCAAAGGTCCATCTGGCTCAATATCCTGTCTCTGACAGAGAACAACAGTGAATACCTAGGGAAGAATATAAGAGCAGTGATATAAGTGATATTTCCCCAGCATGATCTTCCAGCTTCTAATCATTTGCAACTCAAGGACCTCCTGAGCCAGATGTGATATTTTTGTATTTAATAGCCCTGGATAGATTTTCCTTCTATGGAGGTGCCTAGTCATTTTTGAGTTATAGCCATGATAGCCTTGTACCCGCTAGCCTCCGTGATCTCTTGTGGCAAGAAGTCCCACAACTTACTCTACACTGAATACTAAGCCATCTCCTTTTTGTCTGTTCTGAACCCTCTGCCTGCTAGCCTCCTTTGATGACAAAATAATCTCTAGTTAGTATCTACATGCCACACAAGATTTTACCCACCTCTATCATTATGCCCCATCCTTAGCTCTCTGTTTTTCAGCCCAAGTTACTTATTCCTCATATGGGAGCTCCTCCATGTCTCTGATTATCCTGGCCGTTCTTCTCTGAACCCTTTCCAGTTCTGCTTTGTCACGTTTGAGATGAGGGACCAAATCTTCACACAGTATTCAGGGTGCAGGTGTGGCAGGGATTTATCCTGTGGCATAATGACCTTTTTTTTTTCTGTTCTCTCTTCCTTTCCTATTAACTCCTAACAGTTCACATGCTTTTTTGGCTGTTGCTGAGAACCAAGGTGACATTTTCATGGAACTATTTATTATATCCACAAAATCTTGTTGCTGGATGGCAATGGTCACCATTTTATATGTTAAGTTTTCTTTGCGTAATGCTTGACATTTATTAGCATTGAATTTCATCTGCCATCTTAATGCTCAGTGTCTCAGTCTCATTAAGTCCTTCTGCATTTTTTCACAGCTGGCTTCTCATTTCTACTACTCTGTTTCCTTAATGTCCTTTGAACAATGTAGAAACTCAGGGTATGCGGGGAGCAAAGAAGTTAAGGAGGGACACGTGAGAGAGAAACCCATTTGATGTTGGTCTGAGTGAAGTAAGAAGTAAGAAAGTGATGAAAGCTGGAGAGCTAGGAGATAAGAAGTGTTCAAAAAGAGATCGGAAGACAATAAGCAAATTAAGAAGGGGACCTACATTGGATGGAGACAGTAAGATACGTATGTAAGCCAAAGAGGCTAATGCAAAATATTAATTTGTTTAGATGTATAAAAATCTGGGGAAAGGTTATGGGGCAACCTCTGTGGGAAGGAAGGAGATGGTGGGATTTACAGAGATTACAGGTTTGTAAGAAATGTGAAGGGGACTGTGAGAAATGGAAAGGGTGAGAGACATTAGTGGGACATAGATGATAAAACGACATCTGTGCTAGACTGGGAATTCAATGCGGCAGAAGCAAGTTTGGAAGGAAGCGGAAACGTGCCAGAAATAAGTTATTCCTGGTGTAACAGCTGCATTCTGCATCGTAATACTGATAGGTGTGGGGCCATGGCTCATTTCCCCCATCTAGGATTTTCAGGGCAATTTGATTTATTGCATGTGGCACTAGTTTAGACTGGATAATTTTAAAAGGAGTTTAGCACCATTTCCTTCTTTTAGAGCTCCTTGAGAAATGCTTATGCATTAGCTGTAGTGGAGAGCTAGGTGAATTATGAGACAAAAAGTTTTACTTGGGGATGGTAATGTTGCATTGCCTGCCTTTCCTTAAAGGGTTTAGCTGGAATACATTCAATATAGACATTATAACATGAAAACACAGTATCCATGACCTTCCTAAATTTATAGACAATTCAACAGAGATGCAGAAGGCATGTGATTAATATAGTCTAGGGCTTGGAAAGACACTGCGTGCTCATGTACTCCAGCAGAACCTCTTTGAGAGCTACCTAGCTATTCTCTGGAATTTCACTTGTCATTAGAAAAATGAAAGTGGGTTAAATCTCTGGCTGTTCTAATTGTGAAGAAAACTTCCAAAATTGGAACTATGTGTAACAAATAAACAGTTCTCTAGCAAGGTGGGAGCATAGCTCTAAATGGTGTGTGAATTGCCCCAGTCATCTCAGCAAGGTGCTAACTTATTTGCCCAGGAGTAATAATTTAAATGCCAATAACATTTGTTACATTGTTCTTCATGTAAAAAATGGAGAGGTTCAAAGTAGGTGTATTTAGGTTGTATATTGCCAATATCAGCATAATCTACTTAAATGAACACCCTGTCACTTTGGCTATCCCTAGGAACAGAAATGTTTTTGACACGGAAGAATCCTATCCTTTTTTTCCTAGACTGCCTTTTGTTCTTTGGTACATTTCAGGGTATTCAGGAGCTAATTTCCTGTTGCTTCCATCTACCCCTCTGTTACAACCATTCCGTAGCTTCTGAGCTCAGTGTTTCCCTGTGACTGCTGTTCCCCTGCCACAGGGGGCACACGCACATACACACAAGCACACACAGAGACATAAAGGGAAAACATTATTTGTGACTTATAAAAGCAGGCAACAATATGAATTCAGTTCTTCCCAGGACCAACAGGTTAAAGTAAATGTCTATGCCAAGCTACCCAGGTGTGGCGATGTGAAAACTGTCTTAGAGAGCAGAAGGGACATCCTGTCTGTGCTTTGAACCTTCCCCTCTAAATTGCGTTTCGAAGATTTTTATTTGCATGTATCTTTAAAATAGACAAATTTAATCCTTACACAAGAGCGTAACTGCTTCCACATATGATTCATACCTGCAGGCAGATTGGTTTACTTTAGTTAACATATGTATGCCCTGGAAGACACAAATGGGTGTAATGGAAAACTAGCTTCATTGTTAACTATGGAGAGAACAATGCCTCTACATAATCAATCAATCAATCACTTATTTTTTTCCAGTGCACTCTTCATGCCAACATGCCTGAATGCTTTACGGTCATTAAATTAAATCAAAGAACACACCACAGAATGGACAAGGCCAGATCAATAAATCCTAAAACCTGATTCAAACTTACCAAGGACTCTGCACAAGTAACCATGAAAGGAAGGATGACTCCAGTCAGAAGGGCATGTGTGCGGGCAGAAAACTGAACCAAGAAATAGGTGATGCTACTTAGAAGACAGAAACATTTAAAGGAACTGATCACTTTTATAGCATCACACAACTACCAACAGCATCTACCTGGAGCTCAATGTCTTAAGAGTCTTTTCGGACTTCTGAGTGATATTAGAAAACAACCATGGTGGCAAGAACTGTTTACAACTGGCCAGACAGTTATATGCGTCAGGTCACGTCCTGCCAGGAACATGCCTAATTTTAGAGATCTGCCTGTTTGTGATCTCTCCATTTGGTTATTGCAGGGCACCATATCAAAGAAAGATGCAGCACACACCAGCTGGTATTAAACATTGTGTGACTGGTCCATCTTCACGGACCATCCCAGCAATTTATCTTTGCAATGACTCTGTACTGAACTCAGATCCAGTCGAAAGCCGTCTGTTAGTTTGTCAGAACATCTCTCCTTCCTTGCTTGAGAGGAGAGCTTTATGAAACCACAACAGCCTTTATGAAACTACCAGTTAATGGGAAGCTTTGTACATTTTGCTCATAGAAATTTCCCGTTAGCTGTCATAACCTATGAAAGTTCATTCCCAGGGCAGATAAAATGACCACAGGCCTAACTACATTCAAAACTAAATGCAAAGCCCAGTTCTTCAACTTAAACTTCCCTCCCTCAATAATTTTGCCAGGCATGTGCTCCTTAGTCTGTGAATTGGATCAAAAGTATTGCCTAGAGGCAAAGGGTCAGAGGAGATTCCACATATGAAAAGCAGGAGGCCCTCAAAAGTGTGCAACCTCAGTTGCTGAACAGATACCACAAATAGGATGGATAAAAGCCCACATGAGACTCTGGTATGTGAGCAAGCAGAAGCTGACAGTTGCCCCTCAGGAATACAGTATAAAGCTTTCAGTTCTGCAGGAGACGTGATCTGAAAGTCTTGCTTCCTGGGAGCAATCACACCTGAACTGGTGCATGGTGCTGCAGTTGCATAATTTAATAGTTGTCACGTTTCATCCCAAGGTGAGTGTTCTTGGTGGTAGTGTACATATAAAATTTGTAAGTCATTAGGGATAAAAGGGTCTATGCAAGAAAAGGTCAGACATTATCCTCATGACTGGCAGAAGGGGTCCATATTAAAACAAAGAAGGTGTTTGATTTTCTTTTGAATGTGGGCAGATGATTCAGACCCACGTGCCCTTCGTATGCTCTGTCTGTCCCTTTCCCATCTCCTCTCTTTTGAAACAGATTTAAGTCCATCTACTTTTATATTTTCAAACAAAACCCATAAAAGGGCCATAAATATCATGACTCGCTAAAATGAAAGCTGTTTTCTTCTCCTCCCAGGAGACTCCTGCCTGAGAGAGAGAGAGAAAGAGTTCACCTCTTTGAAAATTTCCTGCTCTGTTGAAGTAAAGCTGGTATCTAAGAGCAGTCTTCAAGGCTTTGTTCTTATCATCTTGACCTGGCTTTGTACCGGCTTCTCTCTGTATTGCTTGTGGAAGTGTGAAGGACGGGGCTGGGGAAGGAGTTTTGGCTATCACTGGCAGAGCAAGGGTCATTCTTGGAAAGGGATTTCATTGTGGCTTCAGAAAATGTTATAAACTCAGTAGCGCACCGGCAAAAAGAATGAAGAAACTCATTCCCCCTCTGGATCAGACCAGTGATCCGCCCCTTCTGTCTCTGATGTTGGCCAGAACCAGATGCATCTCAGAAGCTATAAAGAAAGTTTAAGTGGGTAATTATGGAACAACCTGCCCTGGGTAAAATTTTCTCCCCTCCTGGCCCAAAGCCCTCCTTCATCTCTCTTCCTTGGTTAGAGTTCAAGTCTATGCCCTGAAGCACGATGGCTTCTCTCCCTTCCAAACTGCTTTTCATCCTGGCCTGTCTAATGTAGCTGCCTATGACAGCATTGTGATGGGATGTACAGGTCTTGTCCATTGAGAGTCTGTGACAGATCACAGCCTTATTGGAAAGAGAGGCAGAGAGGTGAAGAGAAGGCGAGGGAGGAGAGCATAAACTCAGATGAAATATCCATCAGGAAGATGGAAAGAAGAGTGAATGGCTGAGAAACTAATTGCTGCCTGCTGACCTGGGCTGTGGAGATAGCTTGCAAGTGAGCATTTTTGCTTTTCAGAGATTTCAGCCTGGAGCACACTAGGAAAGTCAGCTCTTGGTTGAAACTACTGTTCATCAATACCTCCCCTTATATAGATATATATATTTATTTTTTTAAAGCTGTAGAAGTATGAGAGTAGTCCTGATAAAACTGTTCTATTATATTCTGAGGGACGTTTTTCTGAACTGAAGTTCACTACTCATTTCTGAAAAGGTATTGGAGTAATCTGGAGCTACTAGACATTGAACACCGATGAAAATCAGGCTATTTTTCTACTGCCTGAAAAGGATTTAGGAACCCCAAGTCAGATATTCCTGTCTAGGTCCTCGTCCCTATCTTATAAACAGAGGTGGCTGCTCATACTCCCGAGTAGAGCAAAGAGTGTATCTGAAAGTGTCGTGGAGGTTACCAGCTCCTGTGGGTTTGTTTGATCATTGCATAGTGCATCAACATTTATGTGACAGAATGCCAGATGCCCCAATGTGAGGGTTAGAATTGTCCAACACATGAAGGCTCTTGACTTTTTAGATGTTGTCAGTATTATCTCTGGTGATAGCACTTTACCATAGAAAGTATTAACAAAGTTCCAGGGAATGCTTAGTATACTTTCTAGTTGGATACTTTCCGTAGTATGCAGGTTGAATGACAGCTTTCATTTATTTGTCCAGGAGTTCAACAGTTCCTAGGGAGAGGGAAAGACGACCTAGGTCTTGGATCATATCCCAGCCTCAGTAATGAATAATGTCACTCCCACAGTATCCACAGTTTCCCATATTCCTTTCCCTCAAAAGTGCTGCAAAGTGACCCAGGGTTTTCTGAGTGACGGGTGTTGAAATCTCATCCGATCTCCTGGGTGCCACACCAAGGTGTTCAAAGCATCCTGCTAGTCTTGGTTCAGCACAGGGGACTGTTCATTAAGAAAACTGACTGTATCTTTTATACTGGGATCAGCTGCAGTGAGCAGTTCAGTGGCAGTGTTCAAGGCTCTGTAATCTACTGTTGGTCGCCACTTGCCACTAGGTTTCTTTACTGGCCATAAAGGAGAATTGTAGGGGAAATGAGAGGTGACAATGATTCCCTGTTATTCTATCTCCTTTATCAATACAGTAAGAGGACAAATAGCATCAGAACAAAATTTGTATTGTGGAATATTAACTAGCTTGCTCTGGGGTAAAGGAGCCGCTGTTTGCAACAGATTAACAGTCAGGGATGCATTTGTAGGAGGCAAAATGTGGGGCAAAGAGGGTGGTGCCCCTATTTCCCATTTTCCCGAGTCCATCCATGACTGACCCTTCAATGCATCTATACCCAATACATTATGGGAACCTAAAGGTAAGGTCAGGCGAATCATCTGTCCGTTAGACAGAATTAGTTTAGCCCTGACCAGTGGGTGGTTAGTGATTTTCCCATTAACGCCTACAATAGAAACTAACTGCTTGCTAAGCGGAGGCTGTCCTTTGTAAGTGCCCTTACCTACCATCGATATTTGGGCCCCTGTGTCAATGAGGAATGTTGTAAGGTAGCGATCATTAACTGCGACCATCATCTTGGGACTGGGATCCTCAGCAGTGGGAGTAGCAGCAGCCAGTACTGCCACTGAACCAAGCCCCCACCCTAGTTTCCCGCATATTCATGGTCTAGGTTAGTGCTGATAGATTTGGGTATATCCCCGAGCTCACTTCCCTTGCTTCCTCTGGCTCCCTAGTCGTTATCCTTTTAAACTGTACGGTGTCACCCCCATCTCCTGACACAGGTCCCAGAGGGCTATCACAAGAAGTGAACGAGGGAAACCAGGCCAGCTGCCGCAGAAGGGGAGTTGGCAGCCCACTGAACTGACTCGGGAAGAGCCCCTTCTCTAAACAC